CATGCAGAACCGGCCTGTAGACACAATATTGACATGACTGCTGATTTCTCTACTCGTGGAAAGACATTAGTCAACTGTGGCAAGGAGAACTTTCCTAATGCCCTCCCATTCCGAGTCTCTGCCCCTAGGACAAATAGAGCACCCAAATTGTGGGGTTCCCAGATGTGGCTGCAGAAGTTCTGTGTTGGTTCATCACACCCCTACCACTGCCTCAAGTACTTGCTTTTTGCTTTATGAAAATCACAATTATTACATTGAATAGTGGAAAGTAATCATCCTTCCATTCCCAGAGGGTTTCTGGCCACAGAATTTATTCTTTCAGAATATCTCTTGTATTAATTCATCATCAAGCTCTGAGAATACTCTAGGTGACAATCTGAGAAGTCATCTATCACATCTCAAAGACGACTCTTGGGAACTGTGACCCACAGAACACTACACAGTCACAATTTCACATGTGTCCTATAGTGCCTCTGTAAGCTGACAATATTGATTCTGGCATTGAAGCTCTCAGACTTTCATATTCCAGGATCTGCTTTTTTGACAACAGACTCAGTATCCCAAGAAAAAGAGACTATTTTATAACTTTAACCTAACGTCCTTCATACTTGTTATGTTATACCTATAGAAATAATGTTTCTCTGTCATCCAGATCATTGTATTTGATGTTGGAAAGAAACCTAGAAAAATTAAGTATTGACATACTGCCAATAGAAATTAAGTATTTACATACTGCCAGTAGAAAACAATTTAGAAGTTTGGACACTAGTTCTATCTTGATATCTCAGATATCTATCGTATTGGATTTCTAAACCCTTAAAAATCCTCCCCCCCCCCCTTTTTTTTTTTTTTTTTTTTTTTTTTTTTTTTTTTTTTTTCCTGCCAATCTCTATCTGATTATCCTTCTCTGCACCTGGTCCTTCTACTGGAAGTCATTCAGTATTTTGCCATCTACAGTCACTTAATTGCAAAAAGGCTTTCTTCATGTTTCTTCCTGTACTGCAAGAACAAAACTTGCAAAATATCACTGGATATATTACTGGGTCTCCACTTGAACCCCATATATAAAACCTTTTCTGTTTTTGGAAAGAATGAAAGAAAGAATGAGAGAAAGAAAAAGAAAGAAATAAGAAGGAAGGAGGGAAGGAGGGAAGGAGGGAAGGAGGGAAAGGGGGAAGGAAGGAGGGAAGGAAGGAAGGGGGGAAAGGGGGAAGGAACGAAGGAGGGAGGGAGGGAGGGAGGGAGGGAGGGAGGAAGGAAGGAAGGAAGGAAGGAAGGAAGGAAGGAAGGAAGGAAGGAAGGAAGGAAGGAAGGAAGGAAGGAGGGAAGGAAGGAAGACAAATACCCAGAATGGCATATATCCACAAAGATAGCCACAAACGCCAGTGGCAGCACAGTTTTGTGTCACGTCACCACCTTTTAGGTCACAGCCTAAGGTATGCATAGGTCACATCCCTATCTGAAGTAACTGCAAGCTTACATCTAAATTAAACACCAATCAAACGTGTTTATCATGCCCATATGATGAACACTGCAAGCCTTGGATGTTGCAGGATGCTAACATTTAACACCAAGAAACCAAAACCCTACACTACAATCTCCGGAAGGAGTGAATCAACCATATTCCTTACAAACGAGGGGTGGTATTTCAGAACTTGTTCTGAGCTCACTGGAGGTTGGTGTTATGCCTTGAACAGTCTAGCTTTGACCTGCAGGTGTCAGGCCTCTGTCAGACATAGCATATTTCCCTCCAAGAGCCACCAAGGCCTTTGTACTAGCTGCTGGCAGGCCATTATTTGGTTCTTCTTTTGGCAGGATTGTGCTGCTGTTTGACTCCAATCACACATCTCAAAAAATAAACCATGGAAGTAGATGCACTCAAAGAAGTAACCTTGTATTATCCGATGGTAGCTGATGGTCCGAAATGCCTTGCCCACCTCCATTTAGTCTGTGTTCAGGTGTCAATGTCAGCCCTGAATTCTCTGGTGGCAACAGGACCTTGATCAGCATTATACATGTATATGTCTGTCATGCCCGCTAGCAGAGGGATGCTCAGGATCAGACTCTGCAGATGCCAGCCCTGTATGGACTGTTTCTTCAGTGACAATAATTAGCCACCCTCATCTGGATCAATTTTCTTGGTCTTGTCCTCCACAGGAGGTGGCTACATTGCTTCTGGCTATCAAGCTGGCCCAGCTGCCACTAGCTCTCACCCTCCAGCTTCACGCATCAGAAGACTCTGACAAATTGCCTGTCTTCAAATGCATCAGCTGCCAGGCACAGAGCTAGACCATTTCAGAGACCTCCATCTAATGCCAGGAAACTCCTTAGTTTTAAGCCTTCCTTTAATCTTTCTCTTTTCATTTATTACCCGAGGGGACTGGGCATAACTCTAACACAAGTATATCAATGTAACCAAGGATGAAATCAAGCTGTTCAAGGAAAAAATGTGCTTTGCATAGATCTATGTCAAATAATAACGTCCATTACTTGAAAACCACTGCACCCTTAGCAGCTGCCACTACAGTCATGGAGCAGTGGGAATTTTATAGAGAACAGTGTGGATTAAACAGTGACATCATTCAGGACAGTGGCTACATTAGCAACATGGCAATGAAGGATGCCCACCTTCCACCTTTGCCTACAAGAATACCACATTTTCTTTTGCATTTCTTGTCATTTCTTTTGGATTTCGGTGGCATTTAGGAATGTGTTAAAATTACACTTTGCTGGAATCTTTTCTATAAACACTGATATTTTGAGGTATGCTCTGCTTCCCTTTCTTATCCCCTTTGCTGACAGCATGTATGTCACGGTACGCTAAGGTTCTGCTCTTGCTGTACCAACAATTGATGTTTGTTTAAAGACAGCAGCTTGAGAGGAAGGAGGCTGTGTGAAACTGATGGCACATGTTATTGGCAAAAATCCTTCCTCTTAAATGCTCTTCTGCATAATATAAAAGGAGTTTGCATCATTACAATAATTTTCTAAGTTTCAAAAAAATGGAGGGGAAAAAAAGTTTTTTGTTTGTTTGTTTGTTTTGTTTGTTTGTTTGTTTTTGTGTGTGTGTTTTGTTTTGGTTTTTGATGGTTTCTTCCACAGAATCTTCATACTATTTTGTGTTCTCCCATCTGCAGTGTTTCTGTCACAGCAAAGAAATGAGGTTCAGAGCAGATGGGATATCTCACTTGAAATTTTGAGAGGCCTTAAAATATATATATATATTTTAACATGGTGTTTTTACATCAAAATATAAAGTTTCATCAGAAAATTTGAACACCTCTCTTTATTTCACTTCCCTCCTCCCGTTTTGCCTCTTAAAAGAGAGGACAGTTATCGCTTTCTGCGTGTTGGGACAGTGTTGGCACGGCAGTGTTTCTCTACAGATAAAATGTGTAGGGGCCATGTCTCAGAGAGATATTCCAGAAGTCTGTTCCTCCTTGGGAAACACTTTAAATATCTGTGATATGGAGGTGAAGTATCACTTCCCCTGTCACCAGAGTCACAGCCAGAGGTACTTCTCAACCTGCTAATAATGAGCCTCAGGGTGAAACTACAGCGATGCTGGACTGCTAGGTAAATGATACAATACAGTCACCTCTGAAATGTAATGAAACCAAACAGCTGTCTACTCTTGATATTTATTTTTCCCTTGTTCTCTAGCACCTGAAAAAACCTGCCCTGGAGATAATAATGCTTCTTGGTGTCAAACAGCTCGGGAATCTGACAAATGTCAGAGGTGAAGAGATGTTTTCCCTGCCCGGCCCCTTGCCTTGATAACAGAGGAAAGGTCTGTTTCAGCCCCCATTCAAAGTGTTTATTTAATTACTGCATTTCTTCAACATCGGGCAAGCTGGCTTCTACAACACATTGACTAACCTATTTGGAAAGAAAAGAGCCGTGTCTGGCTAAATTATGTTTGTTGTGTTGGCACTTACTCAACAAAGGAGAATGGTAAAGGGCTGCAATTGCATCAGAGAACAATATCTAAGGCCAGCTCTCTGGGATCGCTTTGAACTCTCACTCATCGTTATTTTATGCATCCAATCTCCTTTGTGCTTGTAGAAGGAAGGGAAGAGATGCACTTGAATCTTGCCTTTAGGGCTTTTAATCAAAGCTGCAACTTTCCTGATTGCGACAGTGGATTTTCAAGCTCCAAATTCAAATCCCATGATTCTGTGGGCTGTGAGCAGAACTGTCTGAAGCACTCTTTAACAAGAGGAGCCTGCTCCCACTGTCAGGAAAGCCAAGTAAGTTTCAGGGCTTCTGGGCTCCCACGGCGCTGCACAGAGCACGGTGACAGGGCACCACAGGCTGTGGGTACAGACTTGTGCATGGACCGAGGCCTCCCTCCTCAACCAAAGTGCCTGTAGCATTTACAAACTCCTCAGCAGGCTTTCTGCAGGTTCATCTACCGCTGGACCAAGCAGCAGAGCAACTTGTGACAGATGCAGCTGAAGAGGTGAAGGGCCGGCCATCTTGGCGTGTCCCTACACACAGCATGGCTGCAGCCTCCCACAACATCAGAGGCACACCTGCTCTGAAACTGTGGGTAGCAAGCTCAGGGTGAAATTGTGGTGAAGTGCAGGAAGAGCGGGAGGTTGGATGTGTAGCTCTGCCAGTAACTGCGCCAAAATTTTACTGAGCACAGGGCCAAATCTGGAGTTTTTTCCCCCTCTCTGCTCCCCTTTCTGCCCACGTCGCCTCCACCTCTGTGAGTTTAGATCATCTCATACTGCTCTGTCACTGTCACTGCTACAGGGAGCGCCCTGCCCAGAGCCGAGCCCAGGGGGGCGATGTCAGGCGGAACCCCCCCCGCGCTCTGCACCCCTCCCGCCGCCCACCAGGGGGCGCTGTGCCCGCAGCCCGCAGCCATTACCGCGGTCGGGCGGCGGGGGGGCGGGGCCGGTGTGCCTTGATGGACAGCGCGGGCAGCCAATGGGAGCGCGTGGCGCGGGGAGGGGCGGGCGCGGGTCGCCATGGCGACGGGCGGAGGGGAAGGAGGAGGGGGGGGGGCTCCTCCCTTTGTGCGGGGCCCGGCGCGCCGCCATGCATGGACGGGCATGGGATGGGGAGCGCCGCGCCCGCACGCAACGCCGGGGCTCAGCCGCTGCTGCTGGGGCTGCTCCTGGCGGCGGTGCTGCCTCAGGGTACCGGGGGGAGGGGGGGGAGGGAAGGGAAGGGCAGGGAAGGGAAGGGAAGGGAAGGGAAGGGAAGGGAAGGGAAGGGAAGGGAAGGGAAGGGAAGGGAAGGGAAGGGAAGGGAAGGGAAGGGAAGGGAAGGGAAGGGAAGGGAAGGGAAGGGAAGGGAAGGGCTGCAGTGGAGGCTCGCCCGTTGACCAGGCGATGAGCTGAGGCACGGGGTTGCCTCATCATCGCCTTGAGAGCACCGGGAGCGAAATGCGGGGCTGGTGCCTTGCTGGGGTTAATGGTTTTAATCCGTGGCTTGCCATTGTCTGGGTGGAAGTGGAGTCACGCTGGGGTCATCTCAGCCCTGCAAACCTCCTTATGGCTGTCTTTCTGCCTCACAACCCCTTCCTTCTCTCTAATACGCTGTTTTCTCAGCAAGCGAGCACCGTAATCTCTCTTCAGGGTGTTCTCTTCCACACATGTGGGTGTAGGACAGGATTTTGCTGTGCCGCCTGATTGCTTTCTACCTCCTGTTTTTTGTGCTCAGGTGACTGCCAGCTGCAGACGCCGTGTCGGATTCAGAAGTGCACCACTGATTTCGTGTCCTTAACGTCGCAACTCAACTCGGCCCTCGATGGCTTTGACCTGGAGTTCTGCAAGGCCCTGCGAGCGTACTCTGCCTGCACCTACCGCAATTCCAAAGTATGCCGCGGAAACCTGGTCTACCACTCCGCAGTCCTTGGCATCAGCGACCTCATGAGCCAGAGAAACTGTTCCAAGGACGGCCCCACGTCCTCCACCAACCCCGAAGTAACCCACGATCCCTGCAATTACAGTGGCCACACAGGAGCCAGTGAACATCCCGGAGGGGAGAAGACTACCCCCACGTACCTATTCTGTGGCTTGTTTGGTGATCCTCATCTGAGGACTTTTAAGGATCACTTCCAGACATGCAAAGTAGAAGGTGCTTGGCCTCTCATAGACAATAACTACTTATCAGTGCAAGTGACGAATGTGCCTGTGGTCCCAGGATCCAGTGCTACTGCTACAAATAAGGTATGGATTGTTCTTAAACACTGGGTATGCGTACAGAAGTAGGCCAGGACAGCAGAGTAAGTCGCTCGGCCTGCAACGGTTGAAGCAGCATTGCAGCTTGAGAATCTTCAATTAAGTAGTCTGAGAAATTAAAAGTGCTAGGCTCCTCTTCTGGAAAAATTGATTATTTTCTCAAAAATAAAACAGCTCCTTTTCTTCCCCAGGCTCCTCCCTCCTTTCCTCTCTCCCCCTCTCCCGCCCCCCCCCAAATTCACCATACATATCACAATATAAACATTTAAGAATAATAAATTTGATTGTCAAAACAGGTATCAAATTGCAGCATCTGTTTCCCTGCACTAAATAGAAATTCTAGGCAAAGAGAAGGAAAAGACAGTCTTTGCTTTCTTAAACTCTCTAAGTTGTATAGCCATAACAGTAGAGAACAAAAATCCATTGACAAAGTGGCAAACCTGTGATTTACCAAGATGTTGAGGATTCAGAGCAGAGAGGAGGGGAACTGCAGAGAACTGAGAGGAGGTAGCAAAAAATGACATTAATGCCAAATGGTTGTTAAAAGGTTTTAGTACCCTGGCTCTAGAAAGAACCAGCAGCCTGAAAATCCTGCCAAGTGTGTATATGTACCTTTTCAGACAGGCGAGGCTTAAAATGGCTATCAGCCGAACCACTTCAAGTGGCTAGAGAAGGAAAATGTGTATTGATGGCATATGTCATTTCCTTCTTTTAAGAAAAATATTTAACTCTCTCTGCCAAAGGCAGGTAACAGGTATACCTACAGAAAGAAAATGAGATACAAAGCATGAGCCTTGCTGAGATGTCCTGTGATTTACATGTACCTTGAGTCTGGGGTTAAAAAAATGCTCTGAACTTTTGAAGATAGCTTTTCATTAGTAAGCAGAATGACTTGAATGTATGTTTGAAGCTGATACTGCCACCTGCCTTGTTTGCTTTTTGAAGTGAAATAGCCTTTGTTTTTGCCGTGGTAGTGTAGCTCTTAGAGACTAATATACCTTGATCCTGCATGTACAAGATTATTTCAAGATCATCTGTACTGGAGAGTTTTCACTGTATCATTAAGTTCAGAGGTAGGTTGGAGGGAGCACATTTTCTAAGGAGATGACTGTGCAGTATTGTTAATAAGTGAAAATCAGTCATATCACTGCATTTCTGTTGGGTTTTGAGATGCTGACTTATGTAATGCTTATATCAGTGAAGCAAATTTTGGCATTTGAGAGAGGCCAAAGGTTGGACCGATATACTACTGAAATTCAAAATCACCTTTTCCTAACTTGTTATCGTACAGCTAACAGTCTGTATTGTCAGTGCTTAAAGACTGTAAGATGAAGGCATGAGGCTAAGCTGAATATGCTTTGCAAAAGAGATTTAGACTTAGGTCCCTTGAAATCTGTTCTGTGGGTTTCTTGCAAGATGCTGAAGTACAAGGAAGTACCATTTCATGTCTCCAGTAAGCTTCTTCCCTCAGTTTTGTTAAGTTTTGCAGGAAGCTCTTTTATTTCCTTACTCATAGAGATAAAACTAGAGTCTTTCTGTCCACAGATACTGTGGCTGGCCAGAGTGGGATGGTAGTAGATAGATGATATCTTAACATTTAACTGGCCACATTCTAGATGTGATTGACTACAGTAGCATACTATGCCGGTGTATGTAATCTCATGCAGATAACTAAGAGGAGAATTTAAGGAGATAAATATCTGTACATACTGAGGAAAAGTACATGTATCAAAGAATGCACCTTCTGTCTTTGTTTCTACTCTCAAAGTTTTTTGTTTTATTTTTGGCCTGGCATTCTGGAAAAGGTGATAATATATTTTTTTCTTTTATAATCATGGTTCAGTATTCCTGCATTTGTACAGATACAGCTGACCACAGAAACAATTAAATTAAATAAGATGTATGACTTAGGATATTAGAAATGTGTCTAATAGTAGTCTCTGTTACCTGGTATACAGTCCTTGAGCATTTTCTTTCTTTGGCAGGTAATCAAAATTGGATCAGCACACCTGTTTGTAGAAAATGAAGGTTTTTGAATGCACGAGTAATTTAGCAAGATAAATTTCAATACCTCCAGTGCATCGTCATCTTAACTCCTTGATTTCTTTATGAAGCAGACTATTATAACAGATACAGAAAAAGCTTGTTAAAATTGCACTACCACTATTGCACTGATGCCTGTAACATTTTCACTGGAGGTGTTCCACTCTGTGATGGTGGAGAGTCTTCTGGAAGTACTTCCCTTATTTTGGCCATGGGTGCATAGCTTAAGGTACCCTTAAAGAGCTACCAAAATAATTTCAGTGAATTTTACTTACAGAGTATTCCCTCCTTGCTGAGAGCATGCAGATCCATTGTTTGCCTTCTCCATAAGAAAAGCTGCCAGAATGCTATGCATCATTAGTCTTGGTTTCGTCATTGCCATTATTTGGATATGTCTTTAATGGGAAATAATAACAAAGGTTTATGCTGATCTTAAATTGTGCAGAAGCCAAAGCAAATACTAAACTGCTAACTAGACTACTTCAACCACCCTAAAGCAGACTTAATGAAAACAGAGATGAGAAGAATAGAGGTTTTAGTTTATCCTGAATGCCCATTTATTAGGGAAAGTAATTTAAGGAGCCATAGGAATGAAATGTTGTACCTTCATCCTATATACAGTATGCTTGTGAAAATGGCTTAACTATCATTTCGCCGTATAGGTGGTTACTGCATTCAGATTTATCATAGCATTCTGGTGTACCATGTTTTAAGGAATCGTCAACAAAGTGATTATTATTTGTAGAGTTGTTCTGTCACTCCAAAAACTACGAGACTTGAGTGACCCCAGCAGTCTGAGGGCCATCCAGTAAGTTCATAACGGAGAAGAGAAAGCCAGGAGGACATTTTAAACAAAGAATGCAGAATAAAAATCTGTTTCCCCCCAACTTACTCTGTGCATCTGGCCGGGAAGTGTGGAAAGCTGTAAGACTCCTCCTTTCATTCCTTAATTGGAAAGGTATGTCCTCCAGTGGGAGTTGTGTATATATTCACAAAATGCTCTGGGCAATTTTTTGGTAGGTGTTTTGCATTTTTCTGTTGCCCATAGTGAGGACATCTGTGTATCCAGAGTGAACAAAGCTATTGTATATTCTGTGGTCCAGTTGAAACTTGCAACTTTTTTTTTTGTTTGTTTCGTTGTTGTGTATTGTTGTTGTTTTAGCTGGTCTGTTCTGTTTATGCCTCTTGGCATAGGATTGCAAGGCCTTTCAGATCGATAATAAGGGATTGTCACCAAGTAACTGCACTTAGGTCAATTTCTTTTTCTTTCTCACAGACTTCTGTATGAGTTTTGTGTAGGTTACTGGCATCTTTATATCTGATTTCCTCCAGCTTTAGACACAGAGCACTGCAGACTTTGAGGGGCTTTCTGAGAATGGATGTAGGGGGCTGTAGAGGGAGCAGGTAGGAAGTATGTTGGAGAATGCATTAAATAGAAGGCATTGTTGTGTGCTTCATTTAAGGGTTACAACGCTCCCATCAGGATGACAGCTGTTCTCTGTATCACTAGTGCAGTTGTCCCAAACAGCAAATGGAGCAGGGGCGCTTGGGCTTCCCTACCCAAAACCTTCCTTGCTTGCAGTAATTGGAAATTAACTAGTTTTCCTTATTTAGGTGCTTTGTAATGGACTGCCTGAGAATGAGAGAGTGAATGGCAGGACAGAGAAAGAAAACCAAATTGGCTGTGGAAAACAAAGAGCTCTTACCAAAGTTGTTTTACTGAGCATACAGATTTTAACCTGAGTATTGGCTGTGTTAGCAGGGAAGTGTTCCTCTTCTCAGAGTCAAAACTCTTAAATAGTTCTTTTGCACCATGGTTTCTGTTGTTTTTCAGGAGATCAGTGCAGACTGAATACTATGTACTTACTCTTCAAGCAATATTAAAGAGCTTGTCTTCCTGTTACCCTTCAGTTGTTCTTAAGTGGGAACATCAGATAACCAACCACGTGTTTTTTCATCTTTATAGACATTCTTCCTAAGCTCAAGTTGAACTTGGCTTTATTTCTCAGAAGTACATGCTTCAGTTTTGTTGGAGGACGTCAGTTAAAAGCTGCTTTGTCCATGAAGTAAAGCTGATTCCTCTTCCTGTTACCTTGGAGTGTTTCATTTCAGTGATTGAAGAGTAGAGAGGGCTGCAAGCAGAAGGGGAAAGGTAAGGGCCTGGGGTTTTGCACTCCATGCAAGGTAGTGCCGTGCTTGGGCATGTAGCTGGGCATAAGCCAATCAAATGATTCAGCAGGTAGCTGTGGACAGCTTGAAAATTGCAGGTGCAGGAGCACCTGCAGTGGATTTGGGATATTTCTGAAAGGCACATGCCTGCCAGTGCCTTTAAGACAAGCCGTCTGTTCTCACAGCAAGAGCCTCTTGCCTGTGCCTTGACTAGACTTTCCAAACAGCTAGCTGCTGAATGTCCCCTGAGCTGTGTTTGCACTGCAGTTAGGGCAGACTGAAACCTCCTCTTGGGTTTAAACAGTGTGACAGGTTCTAATTTAGAATCCTTTTCATGCATTGCAACTATAAATTTACACCTGTTGGTGTGCTTTATTTTTCTATATCTGGTTTTTTTTCAGCTTCATAGAAGACAAGGTAGAAGAAATAATAAACTTCTACTGTGCAACTGTGGTTAGGGCAAATTGGTGCTTTGGTTCCTGGTAACCTTTTGACCATAACCAAATGATGGTTAGTTCACAGCGTGTGAAAAGAAGTATTTTTTTTTTGTTATGAATAGCAATGGGTGATAGAGAAGCTCAGGAGAAAGGGATGTTGGCACCATCCTGGCAGCAAGACAGGCAGTGAATGTAGTTTTGAGGTTAGCTTCTTAGGCAGAGGCTGCAGCAGAAGATACTGTCTGCTGGGTGCTGTGTGTTTTGGTTTGAGGGATTTCCTCTGTGCTCTACAGAAGATGCAGATAAGCTCTTTGGTCTTGTGTTTGCTCTTGGAACTCAGACTTGTCAGGGGAATGCAAAGCTTCATTTCTGACACAATTTCTTGCATCTATCTCAAGCCTCAGCTCTGTGCTTGTGTATTCAGCACATTCCTCATGATCCTGTCCATCGGGAAAGCTCATTTAATTCTGTCATGGACACGTTCCCTATGTGCAAAGCTTTCATAGGGTTACTTTGATGTGCAGCACAGTTTGGGACAGTCTCAGAAGAACAACACAGAAAAACAGCCACAGCTTTCCTGGGCACAGGCGATCTGTTGAATTTGGTGATTTGCCAGCTTCACAAGTGTGAAGATAAACTGTGCTGTTTCCTGGTGTTCAGAACAACCTGGACGTACTAAAGGGTTTTTGTAGGACAAGCTGTGGCAGTTTGTCAGGCACTAAACTGTTTCTTTGTGTGTTACATCTGTGGAACTGCTGGACAACTGCTACAGGGACTTCACTGGCTTGAACCCCTTCCTTTAGGGAGAGGAAAACAGAGTACGCAGGAGGACTCAGCCAGCAGCATCTGTATGAATGCCTTTAAAGCCTTGGGGGTCTTCTGGGGTCAGAAGGACAGAATAAGGTCATTCCTGTAGGTGGCACTTTTTCCTCAGACTTGGATACGTGAATTAAGTGTTGATGTGGTAGTAAACAGGCTTTACTTCCTTGCTTGTTTGCTCTCACTGCTTGCTACTCCCTCACTGCTGCGGAGGGAGAGGTCTGCTTGAAAAAAAGAGGTAGAATATTTTAGCTACTATTCACGTTGTTTTAGGAATTAAAGTTGTAGGGCTGAGCAGTCGTTAGCATTTGTGAAGCACCTTTTGGTTTGTTTTTTTTCATCCAGAAAGGCATGCAATGCATCTTAAAATGCAGTAGCATGTGATGTAACTTGAAATTAGGATATTGAATCCAAATTTTACAATGAATCCTTTTGGTTCTACTTAATAAAGTCTCTCTAGCTCTACCTTTCAGCATGGGCCATTACTCAGGTGGTTTTCTTTGGGTGGTACTTGGTTTCTTAGATCAGTGTGTGTGATTCACACCTGTTACGGCCCTCAGGAAAGAAAAGCTGTGAAAATATCTGTTATAGATTGAAAGTTATTTAATGCACTGGGATTTAAAAAAATATATCCTTTTAATTATAATTTGTATATTTGAACTCTGAAAGCTTTTGGATGTCATTTAAGGCCGTCATGTACACTAGGGAGTTGTCTACCTATGAACTCTTAAAAGCTACCTTACACATACCACATAAAGTCCTTCACTGCCTTCCCAGGGATATTTGAAGACCACCGATCTAATACCATAAAACTTTCTGCTGAAACATCTACCTATTCTCCAGTGCTTAATTAAATTACTACTAAGCTATCGGGGCTGTATTTTTCTTGAGTTTCCTTCAGATTTTTCCAAAGTCACTGCTTGCTCAGTAGGTAGTGTCACCGTCTTCCATGTGATACTTCATGTGTGTTTTCTGACATCTGGATGAACTCTTTTTTTTTTTTTTTTTTTTTTGTCAGCCTCTTTCCTGAGGAATTTTCCCTGCAGTAGGCATACAAGTGTGCACATGCTAAACTTGTTTTAGAAAGGAAAAAGTATAACGTAGTCAAAAATGTCACCTTGAAAATTTAAACAGGAAAAGCTTTGCAATTAAATTTGCTTCATCTCCCTTTGCAACAAGGTCTTCAGTATCCCTCAGGACCAAGTAATGAGATTGAGGTAGGAACTGGTGAGAGAAGGGAAGGACCTTAGGCTGGGAAGAGAGAGAATGGGTTCAGAGCAGCCTCGATGAGAAGCAGCTGGGGTTCTCATCAAGCAGAACTCATAAACTCAGCACATTCCTCATGATCCTCATGTTTGTTTATGAGGTGCTCAACATGAGCTGTCAATGTGCATCTACAGCCCAGAAAGCCAACTGTGTCCTGGGCTGCATCCAAAGAAATGTGGCCAGCAGGGTGAAGGAGGTGATTCTCCCTGCTCCCATGGGACTCCACTGGGAACACTGCGTTCAGCTCTGGAAGATCATGCACAAGAAGGTCATGGACCTGTTAGAGCAAGTCCAGAGGAGAGCCATGAAGATGATCCAGGGGCTGGAGCACCTCTCCAATGAAGACAGGCTGAGGGAGTTGGGGTTGTTCAACCTGGAGAAGAGAAAGCTCTGGGCAGGCCTTCCAGTACCTATCAGAAAGCTGGAGAGGGACTTTTTGTCAGGGATTGTAGTGATAGGACAAGGAGTAATGGTTTTAAACTGAGAGAGGGTAGGTTTAGATTAGATACAAGGAATAAATTCTATACTCTGAGGGTGGTGAGGCACTAGAACAAGTTGCCCTGAGAAGCTGTGGTTGCCCCATCCCTGGAGGTGTTCAAGGCCAGGTTGGATGGGGCTACAAGCAACCTGGTCTGGTGGGAGATATCCCAGCCTGTGGTGGAATTAGATGATCTTTAAGGTCCCTTCCAACCCAAACCATTCTGTGATTTGATGACCTTACAGATCTCTGGTTGTATTGATCTAGATTAGAGCAATATGATAGGACAGAAAATGCAACATCCAAACTTAATGTCTAGAGCCACAATGTTTAAATATGGTTGTCCTTGGCAAGTCTTAATGGTCTCTTTGTTGATCCTCTTCAGGAGGCATCCTTGCGAAGTATTTGGGGGCCTTTGTTCACTTAGGTGTTCATCCCTCGTTCAGCATGAAGCTGTGACTGCTGATTTTGCCTTAGGGTGAAGGCTTCTGTTCTCCCTCTCTGTCTCTGAAGTTGTTTGCATTTCATTCTTTCAGAGGTAGGAGTTTTGGAGAGAAGACTTAGATGCTTCCTGGTAAACTTTGCTAGGTCCCTTGCTTAGCTGTTCTATGAAGCAGCCAGTTCTGTCTGTCATTAAAACCATTGCCTCTTGTTATCTCCAGGTCCGCTCTGTTGCTGAGTGGATGCAGAGCTCTACTTCTGCTGAAATGTAAATCGTTCTTTCTTTGCAAAGCAACACAAAAGTGTCCCAGGAAGTAGCTTCTTCATCTGAGCAGGCTGAGATAGAAATCTGTTTAATTGAAACTGTTATATAAAATACAACACCTGATTTACTTCACGAGGCTCTGGATTATGTGCAGAAGCACTAACCGCTTTTCAGATCTCAAGTATCTCTTCTCTAGGTTGGTGAGTTTACTTTCTGAATCTCGATCACAAGCATTCAAGCTCTGCTTAGCTGTGGCTCACAGATATGCTTAGCAGATCACTTGACTGATGATGGTCTCGAACTAGCTGTGTAACTGATTAAAGCAAAGAAAAAACGTTTGAAAATTCCAGACAGCAACTAGCAAGAACATACGGAATGAAAATAGCGAGTGCTGTCAGTGTGGGTGAGAGACAGACACAGACTGAGTGTGTCAACTAACCAGGACGTGCCAAATACTGAAGAACAATGCAGTACTGTTTAGAGTATGTCTGCATACTCCAGAGGAGGAATTATTGTAGAGGAAGGAGGGAAAAGGGTAGACTTTTGTCTTTTATGACTGGCATGGAGAGGTGAGGCTAAAGAGATTAGAGGTGTTATTCAGATTGTCTGTAGTGCAGCTGTTTACTTAACCTCTAGCTCTGACTTCAAAGCAGAGTGGTAGGAAACAAAAGCTGTTGAGCAGAAGTGTGCAGGCTAAGTGAAATTATAATGTGAGGTTGCCATAAAGTAGACCTTAAGGAAAATTGTAACGTTAATTTGAAATACCCTCTAATGTGTTTTGGAGTACTCTGAATCTCGTGGCAGAGTGCTTAAATGACAGACTAATGAATTTTGATGTAATCAATCAGTCAAGGATGAAAATAATGAAAATATTTATTTTTGGTACAAAATATCCTTTGACCTTTTCAAGAAATCATTATTTACTCTGCTTCAAAACTGTAAAGGAGGAAGCATCTCTGTTTGTAACATTTATACGTGATTTCTCATTGTAATTTTATTTTTTGAAAAAGCCACTAGGCACTCTGAGTTTGGTCTGCCAAATAGCCTGATTATTCCCTTCAAGTAAGACTGGAGGACCTACTCTTTCCTTTGTGGCATATTCAAATAAGTGTTAAGGTTTAAAAGGCCAGTCATAATCTTAAAAGACTGAGTAATTGCTTTGTAGTTGTGGTTTTTATGTTGGAGCTCACCCTTCAAAGGCATGACTTGGAGTATCTTTTGGTGTTGCTTTGGTTCTCCACCAGCACATTACCGAGCAGCAGCAGACTGAAGTGTCAAATCTCCCAGCTCCTGGGACGGATGAATCCAGGAGCCATAAGCACTTACGTGACTAGCTGTTCTTCCTGCTCGTACATCTCATTTCAGCGCATGTCGTGTTGGTGGCTGGTACAGCACCAAATACATCCGTGCCTTTACAGCAGTAAAGCAGCAAATACATCCGTGCCTTTACAGCAGTCTCACCCTGCTAATCCTGGCAACACCTCCAGGAAGTAACGAGTACCCGACAAAGGTCACACAGTCACTGTGAGAGAGGTGGTGAGAATACTGGGGGTGAGGGAAGCTGAATTCTTGTGGTCCTTTCTGTGCTTTCACGCAGTTCAATCCAGTTCTGCTCTGGTGGCTAGTAGTGCAGGAATTATTTGGCACATTGCTCCACTGTGATTGCAGGATGCATTCCAAAGTGTTAAGAAACCATCAGGCAAGAGGGAGTTGTGATGCTTAATTAAATATAAGCCTTTTCCTTTCCTGACCTTGTTGCAGTTACCACATGCTAATACTGTTGCTTCCAGGCCAAGTTAAGAACAAATTTAACAATTGCCACCTGGGAAAATATTGCTTTAAGCATGTGTACAGGCTGTTTTCTGCTTAGGCATGAATGCAGACAAGTGTCAAGGTCTGGACTAGCGGGCAGTCCCAGAAAATCTCAGCTGCAAAATGGAAAAGAGATTCAAATGACTCTTTTTTCTTTTTTCCCCCATGATCACTAACCTTTGTTGTTTCTTTTTCTTATCTCTCCCCTCCAGATAACTATTATCTTTAAATCATACCAGGACTGTACGGATCAGAAGGTATACCAAGCAGTGACTGATGACTTGCCTGCAGCTTTTGTCGATGGTACAACAGGTGGAGGCGATGGGAACACCAAGAGCTTGCAAATCGTGGATAAAGTCAGTGGCAAATACATCGAAATGCATGCCAGGCATATTGGGACCATGGTGTACATACGTCAGCTTGGGCGCTACTTAACGCTGGCCATTCGCATGCCTCAAGAGCTGGCCATGGCCTACGAGGAGAGTCAGGATCTGCAGCTGTGTGTGAATGGTTGTCCTTCGAGTGAACGTATAGATGATAGTGGCCACTTGCCTTTACCCGTGAGGGGCCAGTTGCTCCCTCAGGTAGGCACTGCTCATCCCCGGTCCGTGTACACACTGGAATCTGCGACCACCAAATGCAACGAGAAGATGCTGGTGAAGGACATCTATTTTTACTCATGTGTGTTTGACCTGCTTACCACTGGTGATGCTAACTTCACGGCTGCTGCTCACAGTGCCTTGCAGGATGTGGAGGCATTGCACCCCAGAAAGGAGCGCTGGCATATCTTTCCCAGCAGCAGAGGTGGTGCTGTGGGCAAGGGTAGCCAATTCTTTGTCAGTCTTGGACTTGTGTGCTTGATCCTTGTTGTGTTTTTGTAGGTGTTGTTGTTGTTTTCTTTGTCTATAACAAAGTTTTGAAATATATATTGTCATAATATATTGAGTAAAGATGAGTATATATGTATATACAATGTATATGAAGGGATGTTTTGTCTTGGGACGCCCACCAGATTGTACATACTGTGTTGACTGTTCTCATGTACGTTGGATGTAGTATTCTTTGTATCTATTTGTTTTGCAGTTGGTGAAATGTTTTATAATGTCCCTGCATTGGGACCTGATAGAAAGCACTTTATTTTTTATATATTAAATATTTATGTGTGTATCTGAGTAACTATATTATACATATACACATGTACATACAGTACTCAGTGCTCTGCCTAGCTACTGCTTGGTTTAACAGATTTTTTTACTGTATTAATTCATGGGGATATTTTCTACACTTTCTCTTACTGTAGAGACAGCACCTCTCTTGTCCTGTAACGATGTATGTATTTTACTGGGTTCCCTAGTTAAAATAATTTAAAAAGGAATCATATTCTGTCCTAATGGTCCTCCCTTCTTTGGAGGGAGAGAGTGAAGTGCTTCCCATTAGCTCAGAAGGCTATCTCGGATAACATGATTTACAGAACCTGCTATGTAATTCTGACATTTCATACTTCCATGGCATGAGTTTGAAAATAAGCTAAGTGAATGTGTTTGAGTGAAACTTATGTGGCTTTGTAGAGCCATTGGAGAGATGATTTTGAAAGACACTAATGGTGTACTTTTGTAAGTGTGTAACATTTCCTCTTCAAAGTAGCTGCTGCAGATGGTTCTGCCCTGGAAGGTTAAGTCATTCTGCACTTACGTGTTAATTATATCAGTATATTAAAAAGGGGGGAGGGAAATGAGGCACCTGACTGCTGTTACTGAGGAACTAGGAGAAGAACGAGTTGGTGGCTTAAAGGCTGGTTTTACATAGTGCCTTAATCTGCTGCAAGAAACTGCAGTGTTTGTGCATGCTACAGTAACTCCAGCTCCAAGACAGGCTTGTTTTCCTCTTGAAACTATTCATCTGAGGTTCATTGGACTGATGCATTAGCCCTGTTCTGGAAAAAGACCCAAGTAGCATTTGCCTTTGCTAAAAAAAAAAAAAAATTGAGCTCGTGTTTGCTTTGGTGGAGGGAGATGGACTTCATTTGTACAGCGAAAGCTCATGTTTTTTATGAAGACTGGCAGGGTTTATGAAGTTCTGGCAGGGTTAGGGATTATTGTGTGGTATGGACAGCAGTAGTCTTCTCAAATGAACTAATTAATTCCTTTTTTGGATGCGTAACCGCATGCAGGTGTTACTCTGGGAACACATGAGATGAAAATAGTCAGAACTGAGTTAAGGCAGAATGTGAAAATTTGTTCTAGGCTAGATCCATTGGCAGCTTGTTTTGTCGGTCTAACTGCGTGATGGTGCTGTTTGAGCTGAGTTGGACTTGGGGAATTATGCTGTGTCTGATTTTGTGGTTCCCAGAGTTGCACCTGATGGTGACAGGCTTCTCCCTGTTTTGGGTGGCTGAACTTCCTCATCACTGCTCTGAATTTAAAGGTCACATGGCTGAAAGCTGATGGACAGCCTAGCGTTGCTGCGGTGATGCATGTACTTTCGGGGCAGACACTATAAACTGAATAATGCTCCCTACATGCTTTGTGTATACACATATACAAACACATATATAGAATATATGTATATGAGCATTGAGCTGTGAGCCTCTCAGGTAAATAGTATTTCAGAAATGTAGTACTTCCCCTAAAGAGTTTTCAGTTTTCTTCCTCCCGCTGTGGGGATTTCTTGAGAAAATGTTATTTGCACATGTTCATTCTTGACGTCTGCCATCGCCAAGAGAACTTTAGTTAATGCCAAACGTGGATATTTTGAAGCTAGTGAATGTTCTTTGGAGAGAACTTAGGCTTACAGGGAACATTGTTTTTTTTTGCATATGCTCCAAATGGCTGTCTTTTAGAAGGCTGCAGTTTTTAATTTTCATGCCTGGAAACCCCAAATTGTGTCAGTCCTTATAGAGTCTTTTAGATACGGTTCATAAATGTACCAGTAAATATATGTTAGTGTGAAAGAGTGACTGTGCAGTGTGTAAATACTTTAAATTATTATCGTAGAAGAATAAAGTTGCCTGCCCTGCTGAGGAATGCCTGTGATGTGGTGTTAGTGACCCCTGGTGGGGTGCAGGGAAACTGGGGATATGGGTTAACCCACTGGGCAGGCAATCTGTAAGCAAAGCCCTGATTTCTTTCCTAGCCATCCTTTGTTGCATAGGAATGTGGTGAGTACCATTGCCATACTGCCTGGCAGATGCCTGCTGCCCCTCTGCCAGATAAGCTGCATAGTGCAATCTGTGACCAGCCACTGCAATCCACGCCAGTTTATTGAAGACACTTTGTGGGAAGCCAACAGCAGGAACCATCGCTTCAGGATCCCACTTGTACACTTCCTTTGCAGTGTTTGCAGAGGTACGTAGGAGAGCTTTTAACACGGTGGTCCTGATACTGTGTTCATCTTGATGGGTCTTACAAAAATCTGCTTTAAAAGTTACTGGAGAGCTCTCAGATCAGAATAACCTTGGAAGAGAAAACTATCTGCTGTGAAACTGAAGAGGAAACAGGCATCAAAAGAATTAAAGGTACAGAAGAGCCCATAATACTAGATAACTGTGTATAACGAGATGATTTAATACATGGGAGCTGTAATATTTCAGCTGCGAGGCTAATCACACAGTTTGATGGAAAATTGAAAGCACCAAAGCTTACAAAGTTATATCAGGCACTAAGAATAAACACAATGAATATTGTTTTGCTGGGCTTCTGTTACAGTTAGAATTTGAGGGGTAGGAGGTAGATCGGTCTTTGAAATGCTTTGTGGAAACAATGGCTGTAGGAAGCGAAGTTCAGTGTAGTCATGTTCAGTGTACATGAGAGAAGGCCTTCGTATCTGTAAGAGCTTATTTTCAAATGTCATTTACCACAACTAGCTCTGCAGAAGGCAATGTAGCTTTATTATCAGTAATTTAATGCAACAACTAGTAAGCTATTGTTGAAGTTTTCTTTGTGTTTAAAAGGGTAGCTGGTGATTTGGATGTCAGTGGCTTACTTAAAAGATTATTTTGAGTCTCTTCTAGAACATTTTAAACCAGAGTATTTCCTAATCCTGTGCTAGCAGAGCTCTTAACAGCAGCTGAGGATAGTTCTCTGTAGTTGGGACTGATGACTTCCCTAGGAAGCCCGTCACAGAACTGAGCAGAGTACTGGGTGCTTAATCCTTCATTTTGTATGTACATATGGTTTCTGAAGGAAGCCTCGCCTTACAAAAGGGAATGGCACACTCAACTGACTGTCAAACCAAAAATTCTCTCGCTTTTCACATCCTGGAAAACCTGGTTGGAAGAACAGTCTCCACTGAGCACCTACTAAGTGGGACACGACCTCATGCAATGTCTGAGAGCAATCTGCCTTTCAGCTGAGTTAGGCCCTCCGATATGCAAGCACATCAGTACAGTTCCTTTGAAATTGCTGCTGTTCTGCCAGAAAATAGGTCCCCAACTGTTTAAGGTCTGTTACCTTAGTGCTATGGATACCATGTGTTTGTTTTATGGATTTTGAGGATGTGGAGTGGCTATTTGCTTACATATACCCTCACTGAAGCAAGCAATGTTGCAAGCTTTGCCCCACCTCATGAGTGTTTTATTAGGGGACATATTTAAGAAAACAAACAAATGGCTTGTGGCTTTCCTCTCTTGTGAGACTCATAGCACAGTTTGAAATCTAGCATTCGTTTTATTCTTCATGTAAGTATAGCTGAAGTTTTACAGTGAATCTTTCATGCTTTGAGTTCTTTTAATTCCCGTATGTGTCTTGACTGATACAAGGTGTATCCCTTTCTGTCTTTCCCTATTCTGTCTATTCCCTATTCTACAGTTATTAAAGACTGCTACATATAAAAAGCCTAGACGTGACTAGTAATGACTTTTTTTCTTTTTTGAAAGGTGTTCTATGTTGCTGTTTACAAGCTAAACTTTCTTCTGTGTCATGCTGTTAGTTCTTTTCATCCATATTCCGAACAACTGAAAGTTGTGTGGGCCAGTGTTGTTCATTAGATTTTATCATTCTAATTAATTAGCTTGTTTTGGAGAGCAGCATAGCCACAGATCAGGTACAGGTGTGCAGGTAAATTTGTGATGTTGATGGAAAACAATTGTATCTGATCTGGTTCAGAATTCTTTTAATCTGGCTAAATGTTTGTAAATCAGACTTCATTGAATTAAAAGCTGCTGATTAGTAAATCAACTATGACCAATAAGATTGATTAGAGACATTGGGTACGTGCAGGGGTAATCTTCAGACCTGATAACTAGCTTCAGAAAAGACTTCTACCACATGTGGATTGTCAGTGGTTTTATTTGTAAGAATTATTTTCATGATTATTGTAGTTTTAAAGTTTGATTTCCTTTTTTTTTTTTTTTTTTTCCCTACACCATATCAGTAGAACTACCCTTTATATATAGGCAATGTGTAATTTTTACTGATTACAAATGTGATGAGGGCTGGATTTACAAAAGATTCTATACACCTAGATGGTGTGGGAGGTATTTAAATCCAAAGCAGATTAACAGCCTTTTCAGCTTGAATCCAGACTTGGCTCTAAGATCTCTACCTCTCTGTTGTATTAATCCAGTAAAGTCCCTCAGGGTGACTATATTTTTGCCACCAAGCAGAGTAAAATAACATGGTCTTGAAGGTGGTGCCTGCACACTCCCCAGATTCATGTGGTTCATCTGCCTAGTTTACTTACAGGGCTTTTTTGGCAGGTAATTGACCTCCTCACTCCTCATGCTTTGCAGATGACAGTAAGAGTTGCTGGCAAGCTGAAATTCCTCCTGTGCCTGAGCAGATTCGATCTTTCACATTTCATGGTAGTGCTTATGCCCTAAAGGCCAGGAGCTATTCTCAAATAAATGCTGTTCTGCCTTGCTTCAAAGTGACACCTCTGTCCAAACAAGGTCTTAGGTGCCTTGAGAGAGGCGTGAGGCATACAACACTAGGGAGTTATTTCAGCTCAATTCAGCAAACTTAACATGTGCTCAGTGGAGTCAGAGGCCCTGCTGCAGGCTGGCTTGAATTGTCTTCTGGAGTTGCTCATGGGTGTCCTTCAATAGAGGTGGAACCTGGACCTGCAGTTTTCGAACAGCTGCAGTCAGTCAAAGTGAATCCAGGTTTGGTATGGTAAGTTCAGATTGCCACATAGGTCTCTACTCAGGGACCTAATTTTGCTAGAGACAAGCTAGATGACCCAGTATTTCCCACCTGCCACCACGCTGATCTCCTGTAAGTGAGCGATAAATCTTGGCCTCTGCAATCTTCACAGCTGTCAGGGCATGGAAACCCTGATTTCTCTTCAAAACACAACTGAGGAAGGTAACAGTGGCACCACAAATAAATAAGTAAGCAAACAGATAAATAGAAGAAGCAGCAGCAGCAGAAGTCAGGGGACAAAGAGGAAAGTAGAGATTGTGAGCAGGATCATGGTGGGTAAGGCTTCTGATCTTGGTTTTGGCCTTCAGCTCCCTGATTGCATTTTCCAATGAACAAGACAAATGCTGTAATAGGTGCTTGCATAGGAGCAAGGGCTCTGTGCTCAAATTAGTGTGTTCTGTCTTTTAGGCTGTCCTTTGCTGTTTCCCATGCTGGCTCTGCTTTCTGCAGTTCAGCACTATAGTTTTGCAGAAATAAGAACATTTTCAGTAAGTGTGATAGCCAAAATCCTTAAAAGGCCTGTAGCCAAATTGACAGAGGATTTGCCTAAGTAAGGGATCTGTGCTGAGATTCCCAGTCTAAATTATGTAAAGAAAATGTCTAAATAATAGTTTTCTTCCTGTACTGATCGTTATGTTATTGCTTCTGAGAGCAATAAATGGAAGCCCAAACCCACTTAGCTGTGAGCTCTGGTGGAAGAGGGCACTGCTTCAGAGCTGGAGCTGCCCAGTCCCATGAGGAGTCACCCTGGCGTTTCCTACTGGACAGCTTAAAGCTGCAAAGCCCTGCTGTGGATCCTGACGCTCAAAGTATCTCAGTTGAATGTCTGCTGGATAGCAGCACAACACAAATCTCTGCATGCTGTGCTTAAATCACTGTAGTGCCTCATTTAAGTGATTTTATAAATGTATGATACAAGTGATTTTAAAAGCCAGCACACCCCTGAAATCATCGGAGATGGCTGTAATACACTCAGTGTAAAAAGCTTGGTACCTTGGTGACACCTCTGCTGTGGGCTAACACTGGTGGGTGGCTGAGCCCCGCGCAGCCACTTTCTCACTCCGCCTAGTGGGAAGGGAAGGAAAATTGGAAGGACAAAACTCAGAAAATGCATGCGTTGAGATAAAGGCGGTTCAATACATACATACATACATTAAAAAACAAACAAACAAACAAACAAAAAAACCCTCCAAGAAACAGCAGTCTTGACCAACTTATCTACAAGCTTATATTGCTGATAATGACACCCCATGGCATGTGACATCCCTCTGGCCAGCCTCTGCCAGCTGTCCTGGCCGTGTCCCCTCCCAGCTCCTGGTGCACCCCCAGCCTCCCTGCTGGCAGGGCAGCACCAGGAGCTGCACAGTCCTGGGCACTGTGTGAGCACTGCTCTACAGCTACTGAAACATCCCTGTGTTATCAGCACTGTTGTGACCACAAATCCAAAGCACAGCACCATAATAGCTACAATGAAGAAAATAAATTCCATTTCTGACAAAACAAGCACAATCTGTATTCGATAAAAGTCCTTTAACTTGGCTCCCTTTTATAAGTCTCCCGGATGCCTGATCCAGCACCTGTCCTTTACCTGATTTACCACCCAACTTTCTTGGAAATACTAAGACCCACATTCAAAGACCAGTTAAGGGTTTAGGCATATCTCTCCAACTTTCTGTAGGTGGGATAGAGTCTCATGTTGGAGGAATAATTCTCTCTCTAACCATTAATTTTTGGGTACTACTGAATCAGGAATAGCAGTGTGACTCTGAGGACCGTAGTATTGAGTTTAGGTGCCTAAAATCTTTAGTGATTAAAGGACGGGACCTCCATAAATTAACAAACTCTTAACTTTGCACATGGGTCTAGATTTTGCCCCTTGGTGTTCAATGCCAGCTGTTAGTTGGCTGGTAAAACTAGTTGCTGTACATTTTCATTTTGCAAGATTAGATGAGTCATATCCTGATGGTGGGATTCAATTAGAAGGTGATAAATTGAAATGAAAACAATATGGGTTCAATAGATGATTTCCCAAATCTGAAAAGTTTTCACAAAACTTTACTATTATTAAAGGAATGAATCAAATCTTTATTTTGGTAAAGACATGGGATTGCATGTATCTTAAATAAAGTTAAGTAATCACTATCTTTTAATGTATGAATCCTGATGACTAATTAAAAGACAACTAATATGGACGAGACACCACAGACAAAATATGGACATAGAAACTTATTTTTCCTGTTTTCATATGTTCATTTCTCAAATTCTGAGTTGGCTTTATCCAAGATAACTTATTTTCTTGTTTTAAGATTAAAGCATTGTGTTTGAACCACATTTGCCACCACTTAGCTGGTAGATTTATTTATTTATTTTTGCATTCATTTATTTACTCTACCTGCACCTCTTTCACTCATTTAGTAAAGCTAAATTCTGACAAGAGAAGGCAAACAACCACGCAGTGCAGAAATGATGCTCGAGACTGTCATTCTGAGAGTATTGTTCTTGGTTGAATTCCTAATAGCTCTGAGGTAGAGCATGCATAATGAGAAACTTTGAACAACTGTATGAAACAGAGTTAGTTAAAGACAGGCTGGCAGCCATCCACCTGAACTTCCTTGCTTTTGACCACTTAGTAGAATATTAGAGTGTGTCCTTGGCAGTCTAATAAAGCAACACCCAGGCTAGTAATCAAAATCAATATATCTATTGCCATTTTGAAGCTGGCATTTCAAGCATGAAGGAAAACCTACAGTGAAGGCTGACAAATTCTTCTGAGGGATGGTGGCAAATGAGCCGTAAAACATGACTCCTTCTCTTGGGACAAGCTTTTTTTCTGTTATGTTATTACCATGTCAAGCTTGTTAATTTAATTTCTCTGGGAAATTTGTAAAATTTGTAACCATATACAAAAAAATTTTAAACAAGAGCCAGGAAGAGCCAGAGATCATGGCCTCATCCAAGGAATCACCTGAAATCCACACCACCCATCTTCTGCCCTTATGCATGGGCAGTTCAAAGTCTGATCTAACCATTAAGTAATTTTTGTAGCTTCACTTCCACCCCAGGGGAGACTCCGCTGGCCTTCTTGACACCTTGTCCTCTAGAGAAAAGGGTTTGGTGTGATATTCAGGTGGTTGGTGGATTTGAAAAGTCTTGGTCATGAGGCTGTTGCACAAGCCAAATTTTGTCTCAGATGGGGCTGGCCCTGGTCCTGCCATTGAATCAATGAAGTTAAGCTTTTATAACCAACCTAATTTAAGATGATTTTGTTAGAAGTAGCTAAGGAAAAAAAAAAAAAAAAAAAAAAAAAAAAAAAAAAAAAACAACACTGGAACAAAGCCAAACCAACAAAACCAAACCAAAAAATAAAGAAAAAAAATCAAAATTTTGCAGTTTATTAATTGTTTTAACAATTTCATTTATATTAAAAAAAAAAAGTGACAGTATGAAAGGGGGCATTGCTTTGTAGAAAGCCCTGGAAAACAGGGTGTGTCAAAATAGACTTTTTCTGAAGTGCCTAGTGACACAGTGGGTAATGTTAATAAAATTAACTAAATAATGATAAGGTAATGGTAAATCTCCAAGCTCGGGGAGTTACCATGAGTGCACTCGTCCTGCACTTCTGCCCTTCCAGTGAGTATCAGAGGAGTTCAAGTCCCCCGTGAGGATCAGAACTTACGGATGTGAGGCTCGT